CAAGTATTTAGTCTGATGTTGTAACTTACCAATACATGTCCTACTGATGACATCAAAAGTATAGCCAGCTTTGCACTCACAGCGGTAATTGCCTGGGGCATTGATACAAATGTGTCCTTCTCCACAGGGCTGGTTAGAGGATGAGCACTCATCCACATCTAAAACAAAAAGTGATTTGAAGTACACTTCTGAATATTCAAATTGAGAGAACAGCAACATGTTAACATATTTTTTTGTCCCCTGGTGGTTATAAAGTGTTTTGAAACAGAAAACAAGCTGTTATCCTGCTCTCAGCTTTTACAAGATCAGAGTCACAAATCCAAACTATTTGTACCAAAGCAGGTTAGCTCTAAGGTATCTTTAATGTTGATGGACTTGGGAGGAAAGCAATGAAGTAACCAGGCAATCTTTGGAGGAATTTAGGTGCAAAATTGTTTTATTATGCATACTCAGTATTTGTGGGTCAGATCTTCATCTAGTCTAAGATGTCTGAGATCCAGAGTCATCAGTAGTGCTTTGATTAGCCACTCACAGAAATTGAAAACACATACAAAAATGACTCTCTTTGCAAAAACCACCTCAGTTAAAAGCCAGCCAAATGTCTTTCAGTGTTTTTTGAATGGCTTCTGTAGGGCATTAAATTGAGCTTGTGTTATCTCTCTGTACTAAGGAGATTTGGGACCACACAGCCTTGTTCCATTGATGCAGTCACAGCCAATGCTATTTATGGGGGCTGATAATCATTACTCCTCTTCTCAAAATGTAGGGTTTCATGAGTTTTATGAAGGACAGAGGGTGGATGCTTGTCATTCTTCACTTGCTGGCACTGCCATGAGGGAAAGAACAGGATCAAGAACTGACTGTGGGAATGATAAAAACCTAGGCAAAGCGCAAGAAACAGGTAAACATAAATTATATATGTGAGCTATTCTCTTAGAACTGCTTTTTCTTCCCGACTGTCACTCACCTACACATCTTGTTCCATCTTCATTGAGATGGTAACCTCGGCCACAGCTGGGTGAGATTCGCTGGCAGGTAAAGGAGCCATCGGTGTTAATACAGATCTGCCCAGCTGGGCACGGCATGTTGGTACTCAGACACTCGTTGATATCTACAAGAGCACAAGTCAGTGTAACTTTTTCCAGTCTCAAGAAGTTTAAGGTAAGATGCTCTCATTATATAACCCTTCAGAGAAAAGTTCTGCCTGTGGGAGAAGACAACTATTCATGACATTTAGCTTCACTGATAGGATGCTTCTAGAGTGAAGACTGGGGGGTACAAAAGCCATTGATACCACAGAAAAGCTATGGAAATTGGTGTAGATCTTGTATTTGTTTCAAAGCCTTTAAAATTCTCTGCTAAACATAAAAAGAGCTAATCAGCAATTCAATTCACCAGCTTAACTGGTTCTGTCTCACTCTCTGAGTTCTGATTGAGCTCTTAGCTTCTACAGGATGATCAGAGTCACAAATCCAAAAACAAAATCTCCTCAGCTCCACACAGAGCAGCATTTTGTTCCCAGTGTGTAAAGTTAGCCTATGAAACTGCCTAAATATTTTGAGCAGATGTGTTTTATGAGCCATTGGCATGCTGCAAACTCATGTGGCTTTACTGATGCCCACGACAGCAAGTTAATCAAAAGCTGCCACGGACCTGGCACTACCTATGGCAGGTGTGCACCTTCAAAGGGTTTGCTGTGCACAGGCACTGGCCCCCCTCATTTTAAAGGCTGCAGTTTTGTTTTCAGTCCGTTTCCAGTGTCAGATTTCAACACTACAGGAGAACAAGGGGCTGGTAATGAGTGCAACTTGGCAGCCGCTGCTGCTCGGCCAGTTCCACGAGTCCAAGACTTGCTACGCCAATGGGGGAATTAAAAGTTGAGTTGAGACTTGAAAATAATACTCAAGGGAATAACTGATAAGTTTGTAGGTCACATTAGACAAATCCATAAAGAGTCTGCTGGAAACCAGTCATTTTAATGCATTTATATGCAGGATATAATTCTGGTTTTGGGGAGTCTTGGAAAAAATGCATTGGCCTGACAAGATTGTCGTCAGTCTTTAAAGTAAAACTCTTCTCCACAGTATGTTATAACTTTCCCATCTTTCTCATACACAATAAGATTATTGATGGGCTGTAATGTGGGACATGTCTGGGAAGACCTACATGCCTGTAAAACCAAGCAGACTAACACCAAAGGATGTTGCAGAGGACGTCAGCTTTCTACACAAAGCCTTAGCTAAAACCTTTTGGACAGAGTTAGATAAAATATCACAATTTTTACAAATTTTGTTTCAGATAAAACACCCAAAGCCTTAAGCAGCTAACCACCTTAGGTAATGCAATCTCATTAAATATAGTGATCTAATATTTATGTCTTTTATTTAAATGGCTTTCATCTGTCACTCTTACCTGCGGGATCAAGGAAAGAGCAATGCATGCACAGATGAAGGATAGCTTGAGCAGCTCAGAGCCCACTCAGTGAAACCACAACTTTTCTCCCAGGCAACACCTGAGTATTTCCCAAGATAAGAACATGCCTTACCAATACAGTTGCCTAGTGCATCTTGTATAAACCCACTCATGCACTGTAGCTTGGGTCGGCAGCGGAAAGATCCTGGAGTATTCTGACAGATAAAATCGGGGGGGCAGTTATGAGTACCAGTCTCACATTCGTCAATATCTGGTACATCACAAAAAAAAATTGTTAGCAGGAATTTGACAGGTTTTTCATTACATTTAAAACATAAGACATAGTTAAAATCATCACATAGATTAAACCTCAGCATATCTTCCTGGAATTCTGTGATCTATGATCAATCTGACTTACTACCTCAAAAAAGATCTCAGTAAAACCAGGCAGGTTAAGATTTTTTTATGATTTTATGATTAATCTTATATATAGGGGTGTGTCTGTGCACATTATGCTTTACAAGTTTAGTTCTCACAACTAAATGATTCAAGGCTATTATAGAGTACCTAAAGCACCACATTCAGCACTGCTCAGCCTTGATTCAGCAGTGTGCTTAGCTTTGAAGTCAGGAAGATTTAATTACCCAAGTGCAATTTTAATTTTAATTTAGATCCAATGCAGATATTGTTCATTTCTTTCATAAGTGAATTAATTTGCCTTGATTCCCAACCATATTAAGGCTTGCAATATCCCTGCATTATCATGCTTTAAAATGCACATAAATATGACTTCTGCTTACTTTAATATTCTACTCTGGTTCAGCATAAACAATAAATATTTGTGAATAAATCCTTGTTCACGTAAAGCAGATAAAGGAGACAATGGCAAATGAAGCTTCACTCACTAATGTAGTCTCGTCCTCATAAAGCAACTAAAATGTAATGTCTGTCACCTGGAAATGGGATGAAATCTCCTAAAGCTATCAAAATACAGAAACCCTCCAGCAACAGGGTACCTCAGCTTTCTCATTCATGCAGTTGATACAAAAGTAGCCCTAGAGTTTTGTGGGACTTAAAAAATGAGTTTGGAGACCATTTGAATTTTAGGCTGGGTTAATACTGAACTGGGTTCAGCAGGGTTCTACATGTAGCACAACTCAGTCATGTTACCTGGCATTTAAAAACCATACATGAATATTATTAATTTTTAATTTTTATCACTATTAACATAACATTAATAAATAATGTTATTAACATATCTTACCCAGATAAGAACTTTCTAACATTAGTGGCAGGTATAATTTACTATCTGTACTCCTTTTTATCAACAGGAAAATATGTTAATACTTGCCAGCAAGCTATTTGTTGGCCTGAATCTGATGTCATTCAAACCACCAGAAGTGTTACTTCAAAGGGACCACAGTTACACCATGATACTTTCAAAAAACCTTGCCTGATATTCTGCAGGTTTTGCACTGGAGTTTGCTCATCAGCTTTTTTATTTAATCTGTTTATAAACCACTGATCAGTTCCTACTGTAAAACCTTACCTAAAATTTCAGTTGAGTTAATTTACTCATTTACTACATTTATATTTGCTTATAAACCATTCTAAGCTTAGGCAGAACAGACTTTCTCATTAGTGAAAACCAATTCCACATCAACCGGGGTTAGCTGCTAATTTATATTTCTGTAAAGGCAGCATGCCAGGTGAAGTTACAGATGCACATGGCAGCATTCTTTAAGCTAGATGGAACTTGAAATAAGTAACTTTTTTAGTAAGAAATATTGTTATGTTTGTGTTCAAAGGCAGCTAGTCAAGAACAGTGGTTTTAGCCTCTTTACATTTTTAAATCCCTAGGAATGCTGTGATTAATAAATTAATCCCTTTGTAACTTCCTTAGGATAAAAGCTTACTTTCTTTTTCTAAGGATGCATCTACCTTCACATTTCCAAACTGAATCACCTGGTTTCTCCACTTGCCACACTTTGGTTCACACTCCAGAATGTGCAAACTTGATTCATTCAGGTGCATCTAAACCATTATTTATGCTCCAAGAGCAGGACTTAGGCACTCCAGTCACTCATGAGCAATAAATTCAGCATACCAGACTGAAGCTAGCTAGAGATAATCTCCAGGGTATTGTGCATAGTGTGAGTTCTGGGCCTTCATAATCACTGGTTTTGGTCACCAGACCAGCTCCTAACATGCAACACAAATTGCCAATGTGAAATAGAGTTATCTCTCCTGGAAGTCTCTGCAGCAGCCCCCAGCTGCATGGTAATCTGCAAGGCAATAGGTGGAAAAACTGCTGTCCTTGAAGTGTGTATGTCTCAATTACATGTGTATTTACCAAAAGCCAAAGAGCATAATATGATGATGTGCTTCATATTTAACTTAAGCCTGGAAGATTTTGGTTTCTCTGCACAGGACATACCTTTGCAACGACTGTCATCTGTTAGCTCATAACCAGTTCCACAGCTCGTGTCCCGCTGACAGCGGAAGGATCCCAATGTATTGACACAGGTTTGTCCAATCCCACAGTTGTGTGTCCCAGTGATACATTCGTTAATATCTACAGCATGCAAAATTATTTAAAAAGAAATAAGACAGAGTAAATAAGAAGCATGAAGATGGGAAGAGAAGAATCTGAAGGCTAGCTATGGGCACACCTCCAACCAGACACTCCTCTGAGCATCAGAATACAATGGTGTGGATTTGGCCTCACATCCCACTACACAGCTGTTGCCAGGACACGAGCCAGCAAAGAGATTTGGACCCTGTTGGTTCCAGGACTCACTGATTCACTGTACTTAAGAAGAGGAAAGTCAACTGAGTGAAAGCAAAGAGTCATCATCTGATTGAGTCTAGCAGTACATGATGTCTCCAGACATGTCTAAGGTTGTTAGAGGTAGGATGTGTAGACATGGTCTGCTAGTGGAGTTGGCAGTGTTTGGTTTATGTTGGACTCAATGATCTTAAGTGTCTTTTCCAACCTCAGTGATTTCATGGTCAGATTATAGTGACTATATGAATGAGGTAAACTTTCAGAAATCCTCGCCTTGTTCTGCATCCCACCAACATATGGATTAGGGACTCTCTGAGCCAAGTCGGATTTTATACTTCACAGCTAATGATAGACATTTCCTTTGTGAATTTTTTTCATTCTAACTTTGAATGCATAAGAAAATCTGACATCCGTGTGTATCAAATGTAAAAGCTCTTCCTTTTTATATGTCCAGCTAGATTAGTGTTAATCTGACCAGTCACCAATATTTATTTTATATTCTGGAGTTTGTATCTAAGTCACTTAAGACTCCATTTCCAGTCACTGACAGAAAAAGGTGCTCTTCATCTGGAGCACTCGTCATTCTTGAACAGCTATGCAGGATGGGCAAGGTGAACTGTGCCCTAGAAGGGCTCATATCCCTCAGCAACAAGGAGCCTGGGCTCACTAGCTCAGAACCAAATGGCACATTGCACATGCCTGAAGTCAAATCCATCTCTATCCCAGCCCATTTCTTTTGATGTCACAGATTAGAATATGCTGAATTGGGGTGGATCCATAGGGATCATCCAGTCCAGCTCCTGGCTCTACACAGACACCCCTCAATCCCCTCCTGTGCCTGAGAGCACTGTCCAAATGCTCCTGGAGCTCTGGCTGCTTTGGAGCCTGTTCAGTGTCTGACCACACTCAAGAGGTGGGGGTGGGGGGGATGTGAAAGAACCAGTTCTTCTGGGAGAAACTAACAATCCTTCCTTGACAATTCCCATGCCACTCATGGAATCTAGAACATTAGTCATTTCTGTCAGTTCTGTCCTTAACAAGCTAAAGAATCCTACTCTATTTATTTTGTCTGTCTTATCAATAACAATCCACTTTCACAAGAGAGAATAGGTATTCTATTTTGGTTTTATTCACAGCAAAAAATTCAAACTCTGTCTCTTCTCCATTCTAAATTCTCCACCTTTTCCACTGACCCTCCTTAATTTCATCTTCTCACAATTCTCATTTCAGCACTCTATTCAAATCAACTTTTTATGACTTCACCTCTTTTCCCAGCTGACATAAGCATGTTCTGGTCTCTTCTCTCCGGGTATTTTTGTATCTATTCTTGCTATTTTAAAACAAGAATGTTTATAATCGAAACAATGGCTTTATTTCTTTTACCTTCACAGGTGATACCATCTGGTTGAAGCTGATAGCCAACAAAGCAGGAGCAGACGTAACTGGATCCTGTGTCTCTGCACTGCTGAGAGCAGGGACCACCACCTAATGGATATGTTAAAAGGTATTATTTAATTAAGAGGCTCTTCACAGAAACTGAAACAAACCATTAATTTACAGGACACTTGATTTATTTAGAAAATAAGTTAATAGACATATACACAAGAAAGAAAGGGCTAAGCACTGAAAGCTCTGAAAATGTACACAAGAAGGGTTATTCTGACAAACAGAAAGAGAATACTACATAGAATTTACACAAAATTTGGCTTATCTTTAAGAAAACTTTCTAATCTTGTTAAAATAGAAATGAATATTAAAAATGTTTCATATTCTAAAAATAGAGAAAAGGTTATATATTTCCAAAACCAAATATTTGTTGTAAGGCTGCAGATATCCTTAGTACTAAAAGAACCCATGTCCTGTTTTCTAGAATGGCTGGATAGGTATTAAACAAGAGGTTTGAGATAGGCACAATCCATGTGAGCAATTGCAGCTACATTATAAATAATTATATATTATAAATAATTTTTTAAGTAATACAATTTCTAATGAGGACAGGGCCATTAAATCACTGAAAATTAGGTGGGAACTGAAAATCAGGTGGAAGCATAGTTTTGTGGTTGAGACTCTCTGCTAATACTGAGCTCCATCCTGACACAGTAAAACCTGTAGTGGAAGTATAGATGAACAGAATTAATTTCCCCATGTAACATGAAGGTGCTCCAAAACAAATTGCTGGAAGTTCCATTGCCTAGGAAATTTCAGTTTCCCCTGTTCAAAAAATTACAAGTACTTTTGGCATGCCAAGTTTATCAGAAAATATGCTGTAAACAGAACCACCAATTGGCAATGAGCAATCCATCTCCTGCAGGCAGCTGATTAAGAAATACAACAACTGATTACGTGAAGAAATAATGCTAGGAAAATATGTAACACATATTTCTATGTCATCTCTCTTAATCAGCAACTGGATTTGCTGTTGGAGAGGCACTGTTGACTCTGGTTCACTAATGACCTGATAGATATTCCCATTCTCTCCAGAGTGTAACAGCTGTAGAACATGGAGCACAGTAAATAATTTTGCAACTGGAATATAAACCTATTAAATTGATTTTATCCTAAATATGTTTCTGAGTTGTGAAATGCTGGCAGAAAACAATGAATCACTGCTGGTTTAGGTTTATAGACATGTAAATCACATGTGACAAGCAATAAATCAGAATGCTTAGCAGAGCAATATTCCAAATGCATGTTTTTAAAGAGTCAGAGCAGCGTGACTAATCAGGACTATAGCAACTTTTGTCTTCCTTTTTTTCAGGTGATGCACCTCGAACAGAAACAAGTTTAATTTCATATTCAATCACCCTGATAATCAAGCACCAAGAAAGAATAAAAGATGCACATATTTAATTTAGGATCACCATTTTCTGAAGAAAATGAATCCAAAGTACTCCACAGGTTCAAGGGTGGCACTTCTGAGGTATTACCCACTAGAAGTTAAGTAGAAGTTAAATTCGTTGTGTCAGCTTCAGCTGGATAGGATGGACTCCACTGTGAGAGACAATGCCTCCCCTGTATTTAGTAACTATTTAGGCATCACATAATGGCCCATTACTCTTTGGAAAGGCTCTTCCTCATGTTTTTTTACCCATAACTATCCTAGGCAAAAGGTTTTGGGTAATCTCTAGATCTAATTTGGCTTCACTTTATTGAAAGCAATCACAAAAGAGCTGGCTAGCAGGACTAGTCACCTGACTCACCTCTGCAGCCATCATGCAGATAAGGATCTTCTTGGTCTAGTTCCTCCTTTGAAATTTCAGCTAAAAAGAGGGGAGATAGGCATTAGAGGAGAAAGCACTTTTCTTTGCAAGGTAAAACACTGTGTGCATGGGATGGAACTCACACCAGGGTTTTGGACAAACTAGAACAAAATTAATAATCATTATTTACATATTTTACAGCTATTTCTTGCTTAAATTTGACATTCAAAGGCACATGGCCATGAGGCATTTTCCATCTGACTGATTCAATATGAAAGTCACACCGTGATCATAGATTATATATGGACTGAGATTTTCAAATGCAGATTCTTAATGTCAGAGTTTTAACAAAAGCTTAACCTCATTTTCATAAGGCATGTTGTTGAGGCATGCTTGGCTTCCACTGACTTTGTAGTAGCTTGGGGTGCTCAGAGATTTAATGAAAACCAGATTAACCTCAGTTATTTATTTAGACTTCATTTCAAAAAGAAGTCCACACCTAAGTTTTTGGGCACATACTTATGGCATTCTTTCAAATATACACATTGGAGAGTTTTGATCTGTGATGCTCCTGCCACATGTACGTATCCCAAGAGCCCATTCTCTCCACATGAGGACATAAAAGGGCCAAACACATCCTGAATCCGCTGCTTCCCCAAAGAACCAGTTAATGGATTTTTTCCAACCCCACTACTTTGAACACAGGGGAGAAGGTAGGTTGGTAGTGTGCAAAAACACAATCCCAAAATGCTCTGCTTATTGACTAGGAAACTTAGGCTTGTTTCAGTGACTGCCCATCAGCCTATTCCACCAGCAGTCACTTGCAAGCAAGTGATGCGGAGAGGATGTGAAAGCAATGTTTGTGCAGTGGCACGAGGCTGGGTTAGTTCACTGAATCCTCAAGCCATAGGGGCACATTTCAATTATGCAGAGCTGATTAAATCAGTTTGCCCAAGTCTGGCTGGATTTTGTACAGGCTTCTGGGGACACAACAGCAGAGATCACAAAATTAATTAGGCTGGAAAAGACCTCCAAGACCATCAAGTGCTACCTGTGGACAACACTTTATGTGATTTTGAGAGCCAGCTTGCCTTACCCCTGCAGCAGAATGCCCTTGATGCACTGTTATGGCACAACAAACACAGGGTTCTAGTCCAAAAATCTGCCTTGCAAAACGGAGCCTCATCTCCCCTTCACCATGAACCAAAATGTCTATTTGTGTTATTTGTTGTGCCTTTCTGCAGGCATTTTTTTATTGTCAATAGTGTTATTTGATGTATGTTCAAACACCTGCTTGTTTCTTAGTTGAATGACGAGAACATTGCCCTGCCCTGCATGTGGACACAGCCCCAACTTTGCAATGCACAGTGGCCCTTGTGTGTGCCACAATAACCATACCAATGGCTGTTGTGTGTGCCACTTGCCCACAAAGGCAAGCAGGGAAATTCTCTACACTGTGCCCACAGTTCTCATGGATGATGTATTTCTCATGCCATACAGGTACACTGAGTATGCAAATTTTTGTTATTAGCAGAGATGTCTGAGTACAAGGGATCTGCTAATCCAGTCACCTCAGCCGGTGCCAATGGACAGGGGCAGTTCCCCTCCTGAGACAACAGCATACACAGAGAAACCACCCAAAAGGGCATTTCTGGATGTTACCTGATAAGGGGGACACTGAGACAAGACAGGCTTGAAAGACCTGGAACAAGTCTGATAACATGCTGGCTCAAGCAGACCAGTGCAAGCTTTTGTGATGGGGCTTGTGTTTAAATGATTGATGGGATGATGACCCCCAAATTCTGTTGCTTGTGATCTGCCAGCCTGATGGCACACTTGCAGTGCTGGGTGGCCCATGAAGGGGATAACACCACACAGCATGACTTGTCTGCAGCTTCAGGTCTTTGTTCTAAGTGAAAAAGGGGAAAAAACCCAGACAAATGAAGATCTAAAAGGGTCAATCTGTACACATTCATCCTCTTCAGCTCTGTGGATTAGGTATAGGGAAGGGTGTCAAGAGCTGCTGCCAGCTAGGTAACCCTCTTTTTTGTTAATATCAAAAGAAACAGGTTCCACACTTCCTGGAGATCTTCAGTTGCCCCAAATACTACAGGCATTTGAAAAACCCCTGGTTTGTGGGCATTTGCCTCTGACATAATGGCAACATTTGCATTCTGCTGAGCTGGCAAAAACCCTCTAGCAATTTCAACAAATTTTCTATTGTTTGTTGATTTTCATTTTAATTAAGCATTTATCAGTAGGAAAAATGTCATTAAAATTAATTTATAGCTTATATTCAGCTTCTAGGATAAGATTATTAATTGCCAAAATAAGCTCTCATACATTTAAATTCTGATACCAGAAACTAAGCGACCTCTTTCCTTATTTTTAACAACAGCCTTTCAGGTATCACTAGCCAAAAAAGTGAGCTCCAAAACATGCATCATAAAATTACTGAGATGAGATGTCACGTTAGAGAAATTCTAACAAAAATAATTTAAAGTGAAAACACTCTTTGTACCCTGTATCATTTTGTGTCTCACTCTTCTAAGTATGCAATAAAATACCTGGCTCCTTTTTAGGAGCATAATCACTGATGGACAGATCAATGCCTTCTTGACCTTTCCCACAGCAAGTTCTGAAGACAATTCCACACTGATATCCTATCTTTGGGTTGGGTTCACAACTCTGTCCTCGAAGTTGGGCAGCCTTTCCCAGCAAGCAACAGTTACAGCATGTCTGTTAAAAAGAAAATGAAAATATTAGCAAAGTCAAAGTAGCATGAGCTTTGACAATGATGTCAGCAGTTATCTCACCTTGGAACTGATGGAAAATTTTCTGCAAACTCTTTAAGAACTCCTGGTATACTTGGGCTCAAATTTCTTAACCTGCTGTGGAGTTCAATGCATCTGGCCAAGCACAGAACCCGGGTCCAGCTCTCTGTGCATGTGTGAAGGTGTGTGCAAGCTGATGTGGAGGACCACAACACTCCCCACGAGTATATGGGATTTCATCACTCCCCACCCACACAGCCTGGATTCAATCTCCAGCCAAAAGTCAGAATTCTTCACACCCCTGCTTCCCATTTGTGTCCAGTTTAATTAAAATGGGATACATTCAATGAAGTGCAAGGCTCAGTTTGACTGGAGCTGCTTACTCAATTTCCTCCTTGAATGAACAAGCACACCTCATCCAGGGTTTGTGCTAGTAGGTCATAAAGAGGATTTTACTCTGAAAAGCATAGTCAGACACTATTTAAGAGCATCATTGTCCTGACATGGCTTCCAGGAGTAACACATTATCTGCCTCTTTAAGACCTGCTGAACTGCAACCCTGGAATACACCACAGAAGTAAGGACAGGACAAGTTAATCCCATGGAGGCTTCTTTTATTGTAAATTGAGAAGATGCTGCTGATTTGTTCAGTTTTCTGCCTTGCTGTCAGAAAGCAGCAAAAGTTTTTGATTCTCTGGAACTGGTGTCTGCCAATTGCTACTGTTACATGAAAACAGATTTAAGCTATTTTTATTAGTTTTGTTACTCTTCCAGACTCTATTTTGCTTGAAGAAAATTTCCTGCACCATTAAACAGAACAGATGGATATCAAATAATGAAACTTTCAACTAAATTTCTATAGCTTGATGCTTTAATTTCTATAGCTTGATGCTTTAAGCACCACACATGCTGAAAAGAGAGCAACTATGAAATGCTTTTCATGACTTTGAGATGTCTATCCTTGCCTATATTATTAAGAACTTTTTTTTTACGTTTTCCCTTGTAAGAAGTTACGTGTTTTTCTCCCTGAACTGAACGGCACTTCTAAAACTTAGAGCAGCATGAAGGCAAGATAGTAACAGCATCCTGAAACATGTAAGTATTCCATTTTATATGATATCATTAAATACACAACAAAAACTTTTCTGTGCTGCAGACTGCTATAGGGCTGGAACTCCCCTCTCCTGGCCTCATCTCCTGGGGTGCTGTTTTCACACCCTCCCAATCTCTAGGATACATGCTTTCCCTTATTTTCTCATGTTTTGTGAGATGGTTCCTACTACCCACTTTTTTACTGGTTTCTCCAAATACTTCCATCCAGTGGCAGATGCTCCAATTTCATCCTATTATGTCTGGAATAATTCCACCTTTTCTGACTTTTTTGGATGACTTTAGAAATAAACCCTTGATGATTGCAACATTTCTCAATATTTATTCTAACATATCAAGCAATTCCCTGAGGCATCCTTCTCGATGTTCTTAAATGTGACAATATTTCTCAACCATAAATTAGAAGACAAAAAATTAAACTGAGCTAAAGATTCATTACTTGACTTAAACCTGCATACTTTTGATAACCAAATCTTATTTAAGTTATTGAATAGACTGATGCCTTGACAAATTTTGACATTATATAAATTTGGTATCCTCACTAGCATTTGCTGGAAGACTCAGTCTACTTCTTTATCTTGTCACAGGATGTTCATATAGGGAGTTACAGAGTTTCTCTTGACTTTTTTTTTGAAGAGTGATCATCAATTTTGCCCTTTTTGAAGTGTTAAATAGCCTTCTGTTCCTTATTTCTTTCAGGTTGAGCCATCTGAAAATTGAAAAACCTCTGTCTCTAACTCATGTGAAACTTCAAGT